ATCTATCCAATAGGGGGTGAGATGGTGTGGTTAGTAATGTAGATGATACAACAAATGCCAGAAATGCTGTCAGAAGCGTTATGCTAAGTGAGACGTCTTCTCAAGTCGGATAAAGGATAGCACTTTTAGAACTTAACTTACAGTTACAATAGTGAATCTAACAAGATTCACTTCTCAGCTCAGTTAGTAAATCTGTCTGAAGACAAAATGACTTCAGAAGAACAACTGTTTATTTTCATGGTGTTACTCAATTTTTTAATAAATAATTATATTCAAAGTGTATGAAATTAGTAGCAAACAAATTGAAAAGTAATACAACGAAAATAAACAGCACAAAATTCAGTTTTCAATGTCAAAGGTTGAACAATAATGAGTACTGCGAAATGAAACAATAAAATGTCAAATTTATTTTATTTATTTGTGCAAAATTTATTTAAAGTGAAGCAAAACATTAAAGTACTCAAGAATTACAGTTAATTGCGTTAAATTTGCTACCAAAGTAATAGCATGGAAAGGAAATATTAATTTTCATGAACATGCAATACAAGCAAAAGTACGAAATCATCTTCGACATGGAAGGAACTGTAGCAACAGTAAAGTAAAAAATGAGATCCGATTTTCCCGAAGTGTAAGTGCAGTGATTATTTTTTTCATACAGTACTTTGTAACCTTTAAAATTAAAGACCAAATCCTAGCAATTGTATGAAATGTAATTTGAAACTAAGTATTAACTTGGAATAAGTCTTTTATTTTTGCAACTTTTTAAAATAAAGTATATAGTTAATAAAGCAAATATTTGGCGACAATACTCAAACTTTTCAAAATTCATAATTTTGTCAACTTTTAATTTATACTTAAAGGAAAAATTACAATAGAGCAGATGTCTAAAATAGTACTAAAGCAGCAGTAATAACTAAATAGCTATTAGTATAAAAGCAGTGATAAAAAAATTAATATCCGAAAAATTTTACAAGTTTCCTTTTTTCATTTTTTGTACAAATCATAAAAAATTGATGCTAAAACCGTAAAGTTTTTTCAGGTTCCAGATTTCAAGAAGCTACATGAACAGTTTGCAGCTTTTCTAGAAAAAGCAGCTACTACTCGTCCTAAAACGGTTGTGATGCCATTTCACTTTCAAACTGAAGAACGGATTCACACTCATAAAGTCACTTATAGTTTTGCTTTTATTTAAAAAAAATTTATGATTTGAATCTTTTTTCTTATATTTGAATATCGGTGAATTTTTAGAAAAAAATCTGTAACTGAGTGATTTTACGGAGTAAAAAATATATTAAGTGCTTGCAAGAGGTGTCGATGCCAAAAATACATCGTCGTAGTTATTCGACAGGTAATTTACGTGACTATCAAGGACCTGGAATACGCCTTAATCATGCTGCTGTACTACGTCGGGAAGCAAATAGGTTCATTTTAAATTCAAACTTATTTTGTGAAAAAAACAAAAAACGAAATCTTAAAAGGTAAATAAACAAAGTTTCAGAAACTTTTCTGCCAAAAACTTTAAAATTTTTAGAAAAAAACTTAGCAGATTTAGTAATTAAAGTTTTTGATTGAAGAAGTCGTGATCAAAAATTAGAAGCTGAAAGAAACTTTTCACGCAAATTTTGGGCATCAATGAAAGAAAGAAGCGAATTGGCGAGGATTAAATTGAGACAAAAGTTAGCTTCTGAAGTAGATACTGTCTACAAAATTAGAACTCAACTGGAAAGAAAAAAGTACATTTAACATTTTTTAACACTTCTAATTTTTAAATTAAACTTCAGTGATTATACTGTAACACATCTAAATTTGTTTTTTGCTTTGCTAATTTTTTGATTAATAAAACTTGATTTCAAATTTTTGTAGCTTAACATGAATTTCTACTCAGCCACTCATATATCAGTCATAGTTGATAGTAGTAGAAAAGTGATAATATGGCAGATTTGATTGTTCAAACTCAAAATATCGTAGAAGTTACTGCTTGTAGCAAGTGACTAAGTTTGAAATAATTAATCAAAAGTATACTCTATCAAAATTATCTTGTAAAGTTATAATACTTCGTGATCATTATTTGTATCTAAAGAAAAGATCAACAGCAACGGGCGAATCAGTACCAACTTGAATTACAACAAATAAATCAGCGTGTTCGTTCTCGAGCACTCATTCTGGAGCAACAAGAAATGCTAGCAAAGTGTCAAAGGTCCCTATCCTCACGTTTATATTACCTTGTGCTCATTTCATGTCAGAGTCATTAAAAGCTTGCTAATATTAGCTGTAGCGCTTTTCTTTCAAAGCCGCTGACTTAATATGTAAGACTAGCTTTCGAAAAAATATAAGATTTGAGTTACTTATAAGAGTAAATATTGATTCAAAAATCAGGCAATTTAAAATTTAGATGACGGAAAGACAAATTTGTAAAAATTTCTCTAAAAATTAAACTTAATAAATTAGCTCATTTTCGATAAAAAGAATCACTGAGTAAAAAATGCCTCAAAACAGTAATTCAAAACTATGTTCTATTAATTGAGACAAGTTAGTGTATAAAAACTTTATTATTATTTTGATGTGGCTTATTCATTATTACAAATGAGGATTGTTGATGAATTTTGGTATTTAGTCCCAACATTGATTTAGCCTAATACTTTTATGGTTTTTACAGTTAAAAAACTGATATACTTTTCAATACTTACTTAAATTAATATCTTGCAAACTTTTAATGAAAGTTTAAAATTTAAACCTATTCAGTCTACGTTTATGGCTAAGATATTTTTTCAAGATATGCTGAGTATGACAATTTCTGCAGTATTAAAGCTTTGATTTCTTTTTTGATTCATATTGAACATAACCAACCCAATATTAGTAATATTATTAGTATTAGTTTATATTAAATATGCATAACTTATTGCTAGAAATTCAGATTTGAACGAAAATATCAAAAAGTGATGACTGCAGTGAAGCGTGACATGCCCAAACACCGTAACCGTAACATTCGTGGAGATGAACTAAAGGTAACAACGAAGATTCTAAATGATTTTCAGCTCAAAAGAGAAATTTCTGCTATCTGTCATATTAGCACGAATAAAACGGTAAGTCAAGTTATTTGTGAATTTTGAGTTATTCAATTGTTCATTCATCTAAAAACTATTTGCTTAATATTTTAGTAATTACAGTCAGTACCATAATTTGACAGTTTTGTAAAGTAGTTAAGTTTATCAATTTTTCAGCAAGTTAAAACAGAATATCATAATGCAGAGTTCTTCACGATAAATGGCGAAGAAATAAGGCAAACGGAGGAAAGAGAAGAGAGCATTGTTAGCAATGATAATATGGTAATTAATGATAACAACAGCAGTAGTAGTCACAATTATGATGATGGTAGCGATAGCAATGAAGATGAAAGTGAGGAAGAAACCGGAAATGTCTACGATTACTGTATCGAAGATTCGGAATACTTATCTCAAAATGATCAAGTCAACTAAAAACTTAAAATTAATAATGACAAATAAAGTCAAGATCGTGAAAAGTATGACCGAAATTAAATAATTATATACTAACAGTTCACTGATTTTAAATGACAAAAATTATGCAAGTATTACATATTACACTACTAGCACAAATATCGTAAGCTTTACTCTCACCACAGGATTGAATTATAAATTTAAATTATTGAAAACAGTCGATTCCACCACATTAAGTGAAACAAATTTATTGAGTATATTTTGTAAGTAACAATAATAATACAGTTTATTTTTAATTTTAGTCAAAGGTTAATCAAACGATTCTGACACTTTACTTTCTGCTTGAATACTAAGACTGTTTGCACTTTAAAGCAGTTTTGGGACAATTTTTAGTTACAAATGTGAATCAGTTTGTGAAAAAAACTTTTGCAATTACAGTGAATGCATTTGATCTGAAATTGATTCAGATACTCCTTTTAAGCTTATTCTGGTATGATTACTTCTAAACGATTTGTAAGCATTTACTACAGTTTGCAGAAAATTAAACAGTCAGTATGTTTGGCTGATTTGTGCATGTGTTCAATTTCTATTTCAAATTGTTATTAAGAATTATAATTGATTAACACTATTTGAGAAACTTGGAAATAAATACAACTCAAGTATGCAGATAAAATGACTGCTTAAATAGTCTTCATCTGCAATAAACTATAAAAGACAGCTTCTGTAGATATAATTTTAAAACACATTTTTTTAAACTTACTTAATTTCAAAACAAACAAACTTTTTGTCATTCAAACTGTTCTTGTCATTTATTCATCAAATAGCAGTTAAAAATTTACAATTTGAAATGAGTAAAAATGATGGAAATTTTTTGAAAAATCCGTCTACTATTATTTTTGACTTAATATGAATTTCTGTGTAGCATTTTTGTCATGCGTGTACACAGAAAATTACAAGCACATGTGGGATAGAATAATTATAGAAAAACAAACTGCGCACAAACAAAACTGAAACATATTTTATTCACGTAGAACACGCAATCTTGCGCGAATTAATTAACAGAATTGACATGTATAATAATATACATAATTCTTTAGATAGCGGAAATTGTGCAAATAAGGAACATTAGAAGTCGTCAGCAACTTCAAACAGCATATCTCCTTTTCCGAAACTTGCCCAAACTGATGACCTCGAGAATTTGAAGTAATTTGTCATGCCAGTAAGACTGTTTTAGCGATACAGTAAGGTATATTTTGTGCTACATAAATTTTATGCAATTTCAATCGTTTTGTTTGTATCTTCTCTGTCATTTGAGTATAGTGGTAAACCATTTAACTTTCGAGAACAGTATTTACAGTACTTTATTTTACATTGCAATTTTTTCTTTTGCACAGAATTTTTCTTCTCTGTGACTCGCATATGGAATAATTTTTAGCACTTTCTCCATTCAAGCAAAGAAGGGTTGAATGTGAGTTGATGCAAGGCA